GTGTTAGTTCAACGGGTGGTTTGAAATTGTTCGAATTTTTGGCCAGGAAACCCGGTTCGGCCGATTTTGGGTGATTTTATCTGTTTTTATCTTTGATTTTGTTAATTTTGGAGATGTATATTTTGTTTAGTTACTCGAAGTTGCATATTTTAGGTTTTTTGGTGGATTGTTCGGTAAATAGTCATATTTGTGGGTTGATAAATGCGGTAATATTAGGCACCAGGAGTTTAATTTGTTTGGTCTAATTTGCCAATTAATATACCTGAACGGCACTGTTGTATACTCGGAATGCGTTTTTACTCCTGCTAAATTGTGAAAAACTTTTAACTAAATTAGAGATTTGGATAACGTGGACTTATGGTTTTTACTTACAGGCCAGGCAAGGAGCACAAATCGGTGATCAACCGATTTGCATTACCTTTTTTTCATAATGAGCTGGCCAAACTGAAGCAACACATGAGAGACCAACACATCGCAGCTATAAACATGACACCATTCGGGCATTTTCTGGATTGCCCGAAAATGAAGTTTCCATGGCACCGACTTGTTGCCCTCGTCAATAGCTTCAGTTCGGAATCTATGTCCTTCAAGATTGGAAGTGACATTGAGCTTCCGTTTGAAGTTGAAGAATATTTTGTAGTCTTAGGACTACACGCGAAAGGAGTCTACGTGACCGAAAATACATCGGTCGAAAGCGAATGGTTTGTTCGAATTTTTGGGAGCAAGCCACGTTCTGTAACCCGCGGGCAGGTGTTGCAGAAGCTGCGTGAGGCTCTGTTGCAGGGGCTGGAGCCTCTTTCTGTTGCGGATGTTGCTCGTCTTTTTATTATGTTTGTTTTTGCAAATATTTTATTTTGTTCTTCGAATTATTCTGTACCCCTTTTTTTGTTACCGTATGTGGAAGACCTGAGTGCGATTGGTGACTACGCGTGGGGACCCGCGAGTCACCGTTATCTGTTGAAGTCTATAAGCGACTTCAAGTCCGGGAAAAAATATTTGACAGGCTGCACCGCGGGTTTGTTGGTAAGCAATGTAATATCGGATTTGTTAATTTTTTCTACTTATTTTGGTATATTGCACAATATGTATTATTGTTGGCAGTAATGTCTATTACAATATGTGCAGGGGTGGTTCAATGAGAGGGTCCCAACTCTGGACAAGGCACGGTGCCTTCCGAAGGTACCGCGTCTCTTTCGGTGGCTGAATAGCCTCGGTCCAATGTCCAGGGTTCATGCAGTTGGTGAATTGACATCCCTAAAGCGGTCAGATGTTCAGGAATTCTATCGGATAGGCACGGAAGAAAAGTTCGTTCGTGCAATTTGTCATGCTTCAGAGGTAAATGCATTATTCAATGTTGCTACCGTTGTAAATGGATAAAATAATTTCTTATATGACATTATTAACATATGTTGCAGGAAGCAGCGCAGCAAATTGCGGCATTGAAGGTGGAGCTGCGGAAGAAAGACACTGCAATTGCCAGACTTGCTCATAAATTACAAAGATCTAGAGCCGGTGTTGTCGATGACGACAGTGAAGGTGAGGGTGAGGACGAGAGCGATGGCGAGGAGGGTGATGCAAACTATGGGGATGAAGAGACAGCAGACCGGATGGCTGTGGAGTCTGAGAGGAAAGAGAAGCAGGCCGACATGGAGGAGAAGCAAGGTCAGGAGGAGGAGAGTCAGGGTGAAGAGGAGGAGGAGGAGGAGAAGGAGGAAAAAACTGGGGAGGAGGAGAGTCAGACTGAGGAGGATCCCGAGGAGGCAGCGGAAGAGCAAGCGAATACCGAGCGCCGAAGCAAAAAAAAATGGACATCCTTTTGGCCGAAGTTGATCCGATAAACGAGTCAGATGACGAAGGGGTTGGTAGCCTGTTAGAGTTTAACCAATTGATGGCCATTGTTCCTTATGTTGCACCGATAGATGTCAAGGTAAGCTAATTAATATAGTAAGTACAATTTGTAGGTCGTAGTTGTCTATCTGTTGAATGATTATTTGCTTTGTTGAAATTGTAGCAGGGCGATGACTCCGACCGTGAGACTTGTAGCAGGGCCGCAGATTCATCGATTGTACGTGGTGTAATGGCACGTAAGGATCGGAAGAGAAAGAAGAAGCCTGAATTCGTGACACCTGTGTCGACACCGCGAATTGAGAAAGCGAGAAAAACACGGAGGGCGAAAGGAAAGTCAGCGGTCGACGTCAATAATGAGCTGGTACGTAGTTCCATACAAATATAAGTCGTCTGGCTCAAAATACTTCAGATAGATTCTTAAATACCTAGTGTTTCTGCGTCAATACCTGTACAATAAATACAGATACCTACGGAAACATGATTATCTTCATTGTTGGTTCAGGAACCATTTGTCGTCGGCGACGATGGGGACTCGGATGCTAAGGTTGTAGCAGACCCTGGAGCACAAAAGTGGGAGGGATATCGCAATAATGACAGCTACTGTGGAAAGGGTTCCTTATCTGAGGATGAGACGAACACCATTGAACATTTTCTCGCGTCATTCGCTGTCCGGTATTGCTATTCACTATTAAGGCTTTATATATTTATCTCAATCGATGTTTTTATCCGTTTGCGACTATCATGTTGTAGGGACACTGTATGGCAGCAGGGCGTCGTGTCTGTCTCGTCCGATGCCGTTTTAGAACTACTGTTTGACGAAGCTGTGAAAGGCGAAGTCATCGACGCGTACCTATATCATCTATGCAGCAATGAATATCAGCTCCAACACAATCCGCAGGTGCGGTGTGGTTGTGTGCCATGGTTCGTAGCGGTGAGTATCCTGTTTGGAATTTATACGGTTAGTATTACAAATCACATTGTTATTATTGCGTTGGTTGCTGTGTTCGATTTTCAGAAAGCCGTGAACGACGCGCTATCACGACCAAGCAGGGGAGCGAAAAAGCCGAGCATCAATAAGGGTAATGTACTCGCGTTTGCCAACTCGCTGCAAGTGACCGTAGGCCAAGAGATTGCCGGAATCATGGACAAAATCCGGTCTGGGTGCCGGTACATATTTCTACCCGTACACACCCGGTTCCACTGGCATCTCTGCATACTGGATACCGTCAAACGTGTTGTGTTGGAGTGTAACTCAATGCGCGACCCCTTCGGCCAGGGGAATGCAAAGAAATTGGTACGTCTTTCGAATGATCATAATTAATTGCCTATGGGTAGGGTGAATGCCTTAACGAAAGAGTAACGTTATTTGTGCAGACGCGATTTTTATCGTTGTATATGAACGCGTCACGACTATGGCCTATGGTCAGCGACATGCCCGAGTACATTAGATGCCGACACCAGGGTGAAACGTTGGACTGTGGACCTTTAGTCTGCATGTTCGCAGAGTGTTATGCGCGGGCAGGTCCAGATGTCAATCTCGTTGGTGTCCTCGGCGAGGACTTCGGCGATGTCAAGAGCTACCGAGGCACGATTGCGGCGAGGATATTGAAAGGTCCCCCCTTCTGAAACGTAGACCCCGATGGAAAAATAGGGCAGGTTAACACATGTAATGAATTTGGATTGATTTGGGAAGTTTTTGCGTTGTGTGGCGAGGTGATGGATTTGTTGAATGTCTTCAGTTTGGATTGATCTGGGAAGTTATTGTGTTGTGTGGAGGTGATGGATTTGTTTAATGTCTTCAATTTGGATTGATCTGGGAAGTTATTGCATTGTGTATCGAGGTGATGGAATTGGTAAATGTCTTTTATGTGGATTGATTTGTCATCTTCATTATATACCTGCGTTGTGTGGTGATACCCGTTGATAGCTTTTATGTGCCTACGGAAAACTAGTATGTACTTCCATTTATATATTACATGCTCTAGTCATTTGCGTTTGTGGGACTGGTCATTTCTTTTGCACTGATCACTGAAATAGCGTTCACTTTGAATCAGTTCAACCGTGTCGGCGTTTCTCATAAAACCCTACTGGACGCCATGTTTTAATCGACCGGAGATACTGCAAGGGCTTACTCGTTAATTTAAAACAAACAATACTAAAAAAACATGATCATATTACAACAAAATATTTGTGCGGGACATAGGTGTCTGGTAATTGCGTGTGGGCCAACGTCTAGATTACAATCAACTATTTCCTGCGGAATGCTAAGCAACACGTGGTTACAGAGAAGTGCTACTATACCTACAACTAGGATACCTACAACTACAACACAGATGCCCGCATACGCAATCTGTGTACCTCGTTCAGCGAGTCTGGTACTTAGCTCGGATGCATAAGTAACGGAGTCATTATTACAAATACCCTATAGTATCTATTATGTACCTACGGAAATAGCCTTTATACTTCCGTTACCATTTCAAATGCTCTAGTACCCTACGGGTGGGGACTCGGCCTTTTCTCTTAAAATATTCATGAACTGATGGTAAGAGTGTATTGGCTTAACCATGGTAGTGTTGCTCGTCAACCCCATAATCTTGAATGGCGTGTTTTAGGCCACAGATTATACTTACATCGCTTACCCGTTAATTGAATTAGAACACAATAGAATAGACACGATAATATAACCGCAATATAGTTATGTGGCATATGGAAGTCTGGTACGTAGCTGTGTGCTGAATTTTAATCAATGCTACGCCTCCAAGTTATTACACGGTAATACAATTAGAATACTGTATAAACAAAATAAAATATGGTTTGTACTCGGACCGCAACCCTATATGTTGGAATCATTATTCATATACCCTCTGTAAGCTATTGCGTACTTACAACAACCGTGACATTATACTTCAGTTGCAATTATGTATGCCCTGGTTACCTGTGGCTGGGGAAACGGTCTTTTTTTTTTTTTCTTCAAATAGCATTTATTTACTGCTGATGGTTAAAGAAGGCATCAACAAATACTTAAGTTGTATGACACATGCACTTGGTTAGTATGACGAGTGTAATACAACAACTATACCTCCTAGTAATAACCCAAAAATAGGATAGCATGTACTTTCAAAACAATTAGAGATTACATTAACCATCCGTCCCTACAGAGCTACATCATCAAATGCCTCAGTACATGAAAAATATACCTGCAGAATATAACTATGAACCTTCACAACTTCATCATATACCTGCGTGAGAGGGCTACATACCACTTACTACTGCAAATAAGTCGATGGATCCAACCGGTTACATCCTAGAGACACAAAAAACAATTACAATATAGCTATTGAATATGTACCTACTGTCTTAATATATACTCCTGGAAGCCAAAAAGATGTACAATGAAAAAAAGGTTCGCTAAGCTATTTGTTGCTTGCAACTTCTTCTATTATGTCCAAGACGCCCACAACGACCACATTTCCGTGCATTCTTTACCTGCTGGGACTCGAACCTTCGCTTCTTTGGCCGGCCTGGTTGGACAGACGACGGAGGAGGGTGAATTTGGTCCGCCTGAATTTCAACAATCACGTCCATATCATGCGTCGGTACGGGATTTATTGGCTCCTGGTACGTTTTTCTGTAAGATTCAATGCTATAGTAAAGATCGCAAAAATCATAAATTGACATACTGCATTTTTCAATGCAAGCGCAGGCATGCTTGCAGGGCAATCGGAACATTTGCCATTCTCGACAAGAGCATTTGCGCGCCTCCAAATCGACTGCGTATCTTTCATTACAATCTGTTACCTCGAATACAGTTCTAGAGGATGAACTGCACTGTAGCCGTCGAGACGCCATGTACGATAGTGCCAACTTGCTCTCCTGTTTTGGACAGAGCCTTCCGTGCATTATCTCCGACTTTTCGCGGCGTTCATTCATCATTACCATCACTTGCCTTCTAATGGTATATAACATCCCAACGAATGGCATTGACCTCGCGGATCTCACCCAACTATTCCATGACTCAGCAATGTTATTATTTATTATTCCCCAACGAGTGCCTCTGAATAGTGAATTTGCCCAACATTCTGGGTGTGATTGGGTAATGAAGTCCCTGGCCAATGGCATTGATTCGACCACAGAACTAATGTGGTTTTCGAAATCTCTCCTCAACGGAGCATAGGCGGCCTTATTGAAGACAGCGGTCCATCGTTTCTTATTATGCATTGGGTATCTCCGCATAACCTAAAAAAAAGACATTTTATGGCTGATCATAACCAGTGATGTTCATTACAGATTAATATTGACGTACATATACCTGGGTACGGAAGTTGTCCACTAAGTGTCGGAGACAGTACGCATGATGTGCTCCGGGAAAGACGCACGAGATTGACTTTAGTAAACCCGAGTGCCGATCCGAGAAGAATGTGTACTGTTTCCAATCCGTACGTCCCTCACATTCTAAAACAGATCGCAGCTTCCAGCAAAACCACTCCCAATTTTCATCATTTTCCGTAGACACAGCTGCAAGTCAACAAATAAGAACACAAATAACTACAAAGGTTTCCAACGTATAAGGGTACATACGTGCCTAAAGAGAGCATGGAAAACAGCATACACGAACAGCTATACCCAGCATTCTAACAAAATGACAACTGTAGCTAATATCAAATTACGTACCAGAAAATGCTAAAGTAAACATCCCATCATCCCCATCCACTGCAATTGCACTTAGCAGACACCCTTTGTGTTTGTTTTTTATATGTGTCCCATCAAGAAAGAGTAGGGGCCTGCAACCCCTCAAAAAACCCAGCCGGCATGCACCTAAACAAACAAAAAGGCGTTGGAAACGTTTGGTTGCCTGCTCAACTTCGCAGTCTATAATACTTCCCGGATTTGACTCCCGAAGTGCATGACAGTACCATGGAAGTTGTGAGAAACTGTCTCTACCTCCACCATTAATTGCCCTTATCGCATTCTCTTTGCCACGCCATGCTTTATGATATTTCACGTCAATCCCATAATCTGTTTGGATATGCTCCCGGATGTCGGATGCCTTATACGCTGGCATAGAACGTATCTTATCTTTGTAGACCTCAGAAATCCAGTTCGCATCGGCTGCTGGATGATCTCTTGATTGCAATAGACTCATAGTACATATGTGATGTAAATTGCACTTACGAATGCTGAATGATGCATCACGAGCATGGAAGGATGTATAAATACGCCAACCACAGCCTTTGTCGATGCACACCGCAATAATTTTGCTCGAATCATTCTTTTGGTACCTGAAGTGTTTCTGAGTGGCAATAGAATAATTCTTCAGTAACTTTCCAAACTCCTGCGGTCCCTTGAATGTCTGCCCTTCCCCGACAATGCATCTCTGCATTGCAATTAGACTAGTACTTTCGTCGGGAATAAAGATACCATCGGCGCAATCTTCGTTCAATCCAGAACATTCGGCCTCGCCCCTACATTACAAATACAATAATAAGAATGAAAATTATATCAGATGTAAGTAGTTCTAATTTTATATGGTAATAGATATTTTCAGAGTAAATGGAAAAACATGGGTACCCATCTTACTCAACCGAGTATGTCCACGGTGTCTATGGTTACCTACCGTGTCATCCAGGGTATTTAAAAGAACAACTGCATCTATTCACCGCAGCAGGCTACGTGATGCAGTAAATGCCATGGGCTACAGAAATTTCAACGCATCGATCATGGTACACCTACCTAAACCGGATTGCTAGAGGATATTGACAGTGGCGTGTGAAGAAGGAGTGAAAATCGTTAAATACCTTCAAGACGTTATAGCCCCACTACATATCTTTACAATCTCTTCAGTGGTTCGTTCTGCACCGCGCTGCTACAAAATCGCGGAGGTGGATACTTACTACCTACAAACAACATCGCAACAATATACCACGGTATTGTTGTATGCCAATATCATGAAAGAATTATTACTAACGTAACCTATAAACAATATGTTTTTACATGTGTTGAACATGACATTATAAGCGCTTACAGACTGCATTCTTACATACTGCATTATAAGTGCTTACAGACTGCATTCTTTCATAAGGAACAATAGTGACTGCATTCTATAACAAAGTTTAATAAAGACTACTTAATTACAAATGATGAGTAACGTACCTGCGTCCAACCGTGCTTCGGAGAGGCACGCTCTGGTGCTCGCTTCTGCACCGTGCAATCATATCCACAAACATTACCTTTAACAAGATATGCATTCTCCACATATTGGCGACATCATCGTCACACAATAATGTCACGTAGCTTTTCTGAATAGGTGCAATATATTGGAGTTTTACCGCCTCAATACTCACTTTATTCCATCTTTTCGATATATTCCGGTAAAGATCCTCCAGCGTGGTGCCCTCTTCTAAACGAATTACATGATGCTCACCCTCGTAGGAACATATAATTAATAATTTCAGACTACTTTGCTCCATGTCCATCGGAACCTAGCGATCCAACCGATGAATGTATGAACTATATTAGGTCGTATGGGCGATTAGATAATCTTACACAAAATACACTAAAATCATATGTTCTTACGGAATTCTAGAAATGTCTTGATCCTCAATAGCAACACATTACCCATTTCACAAAATAAATATTACCCTTAAACCCTAAATAGCAACAAAATTTATTATCAAAATCACCCTAAATAATACCCAAACATTTTCTTCCAGATAATAATTTTTCAACTAAGATATCGATACAAAAACACACCTGGTACATCTAATTTCGCCGGAGAACAAGAAAGACGGGCCAGGAAACCGGTTACAGCCTTCGGTAGTTCTTCGACCGAATCAACCGACACAAAAACACACTTGGTACATCTAATTTCACCGGAGACCAAGAAATACGGGCCACGGAACCGGTGACAGCCTTCGGTAGTTCTTCGACCGAATCAACCGACCGCCGACGACAGGGAACCGGAACAGGATTCGGAGAGTGCCCTAGGAAATTTTTCAATCGAACCAGACAAGAAGCGGCGATGTAAAATCGGGCGAACAATTAAGAACCTTACCTGTGCGGGATGTGGCTTTTGAGCTCACGGAAGAGGACAACGGCTTGACAAGAATTTTTTGCGCGAAGAGAAACAGAATGAAGAGAAATACGATTAGGGAGGAAGAAGAAGGAAGAAGGAAAAAGGGGGGAGTGCAGAACAATTTTTTATCATTAGGGACTGAATCCCAAATGATAAATGGACAGAGGGATTTTTTGCCCAATTGTCCGTTAAATTTATTGAAAATTATAAATATAGTGAACTAATCGATAACTAACATAATAAATATATACACGAAAAATTTATTATTTTATATTTTACTAGAAAAAACTATTTATATATTTTAATAAAAATATATTATTTTTTTAAATCTAACTGTAATAAAAATAAATATTTTTATAACACTTCTACGATTTTCAATAACTAATAACAAAAAAATTTTAAACATTCTAAACTCAAAATAACATTTGAATATATTAGAAATAAACATAAAATAGAAATGTCCTCAATTGTCATTATATTTTACCAAACATTTTAATACAAACAGCTAATCGAATCAGCTAGTCAAACCAGCTAATTGAATCAGCTAACAACTATCAGCTAATTGAATCAGGTAATAGCTATAAGCTAATTGTCAAACATGCCCTAAATCATTTAGGATTGAACTTAATTTAAATTAATAAGAAATCTAATTATCAAATTAGAATTATTCTTATATATAATAAATAAATAAATTAATTAATATTAATATATTATAATCAGATTATTGTCACATTATGATCGAGTTGCCTAACCCAACCTATTTCTTATAATTAAATGAAAATCGTTGAATTTTCATCAGCGCTATTGTCATGCAATTACCACCAGAAAAATGGTTAATTGTTTTTCTACTTTTTTTTTTAATGGGCCCCTGTGTTAGTGATCTTGAGTTTGGCCCATTTGAATTGACTTCTTACATAAGCTTTGTTTCTACTTCTAAAAACATTTTGCACTTGTTTGTATCGACTTCTGTCCAAAAGCAGAAACAGTTTTGAAGGTGAAAAGTGTTTTTTTTCGAAAGCACATTGATGGTAGCTTTTGGAATATTCCGAAGCACTTTTTAGTTAAAATTACTTTTTTTTATCTTTAATAATAATAATAATAATAATAATAAATACAATACAATAATATAATATAATATAAAAATAAATAATTTATATATTATATTTTAATAAAAATACAAAAATATAATTAAATTATTATTTTTAATTTATGTATTATATTTGGAGTAAAATTTAAAATTGAAAGACCAAATTTAAATAGAAATATATAAATTTTTTAATTATACTTAAATTATTAAATATAATTAATAAAATTTTAGATTAAATTATAAAATACAAATAATTTAATATTATATTGTAATTTTTTTTTTAATTGATATATTAACCTTGAATTAAAATTTTAAAATATAAATAATCAAATTTTAAAAGTATATTTTTTATACTTTAATTTAAAATCTTTAAATATAATTTATATTTTTAAAATAAATTATAAAAATATTATAGAAAAATACTATTATATTAGCAACATGTCATTTTAAGTAATTTTAATAGTTTAAAAGCACTTTCAACTCTGTAATATCGAAACAATTTTTTTACAAAAAGCTATTTTTATAATGATTTATCCAAATATAAAATCGAACTGCTTCTACTTTTGACTTATACTAATTTTTTAAGTCAACGACCCTTTATCTGGTTGTGTCTTTTCAACTAAAATTATTAAATTAAATTTTATTTTTTGTAACATAAATAGACAATTAATAATAAAAAAATAAGGAATTATGAGTATGTATTTTCAGTATGATTTGAGGATTTTTTTAACTTTGTGAGCATAGTTTGGCTTCAATACTATGACAATGACATGCATATCTATTCCCATGGCCCTCTGTAAGCTGACTGTTTGTTGGGTGTGCATTTCCTTTATTTATTTATTTATTTATTTATTTAAATTAAACATAGGATTGTTTTGGATGACCGCGCAATAATGTAACAAATTAATTATTTAATTATTTTAAATTTTAAATTTTAATAAAATATATATTTTTCGTTTATTACAATTGATATATTTTTATTTTACATAAAGTTTATTAAATTAAAATATATTTAGCAATTAAATTTTTTTTTTTAGAAAAATAAATATTTTTATTTATATTTAAAATTTCACATCTTATAAAATTAATTAATTTTAATTATAAATAAAAATATTTTTTTATTTTACTTATATTATAAAAAAAATTATTATCTACAAAATGATATCAATATTACATATATTTTTTCTTACCATATACTCCCTCCGTCCCATGTAATATGGGTGTATTACTGTAGACACGAGAATTTAGGTAAAGTATAATTAGTAAGTAATTAAGAAGTGTATTAGTAAAAATAATTATTATTTAGTAAAAATAATTATAGATTAAGATTAAGATAAGTAAATAGTTGAATTAAAATTAAGAAAATTATAAAACTTAAAATTTAAAATGCGATTAAAGTGCATAATTATATTTCCAAAAATAGAAAGATCAAGTTATGTGGGACGGACGAAAATAGAAAATAGGGACAAATTATGTGGGACGGAGGAAATAATTTTTAAAAAATTTAAATATATTTTTTAATTTTTTTAATCACATATATTAAATTTATTTTTTAAAACTATCAATATTATTAATTATATAAAAATAATATCATAACTCATAATTATTAATTAATTAAATATCATTACATTAAATATTGTGTCCATAATTAAAAATGTCAACTATATTAGTACGAGAAAAATATATGACATGTATATAATTTGTAGATAATTTTTTTTATATAATACAAATAAATAAATAAAGAATATTTATTTATAATTAACATAAATTAATACTCAAATCATATTACTATTAATTTTATAAATTTAATTTAATATTACATATTTACATCATTAATATTTTTTAATTACTAAATCAATATATATATATATGAAAATCCCGAAAGTCTACCAATTTAAAAATAAAATAAAAAAAATTCAAATTTATCTTAAAATTTATATTTAATTCAAAGTTAAAGCCAATTTTTTCGAACTCCCTCAAAATAAACACATTCTTAATAATACATTTGGAAATATGAACTTTGCAAACCAAATGTGCCGCCATACTATTTTGACTATTTTGATTGTTTTTGGGCACCCACCACTTAATTAACAACATTATATTAAAATATTATTTTATTATTTTTATTGAGTCATGTTATTGATTTTTTAATCATTTATACGTATAATTAAAAAATTAAAATACTACAGTATATTTAAATATTTTATTTCAATAAAATATATAATATGTAATATAAATAATGTTTGAAAGTATTAAATATTTATATTTAATATTAAAATATATATGGTAGTTTTTATGTATATGATGTAAATATATTTAGATAGGTATATATATTATATTATATATATATATATATTATTGTGCGTGGGTATACGAGAATTAGGAAAAAAAATAAAGAAAATCAGAGAGAGATTGTATTTTACTTCCTGTACTCTATTAAATATATAAGATAGCTATATTTATAGTAAAAGGAATAATCAACAAATGGCTATAAATTTGTCCACAATTTGCCTACGTATCATAAACGTATAAGCCATTAATGCATCCATTATATGTACACGTATTTAAGATGTGTACAACACTCCCCCTTGGATGCTTTATACGAATAATATGTCTCGTTAAAACTTTACTATGAAAAAACTCTGTGAGAAAAAATCATAGCGAAGGAAAAAAGTACATCATTCTTGTATTAATGTGCTCCCCCTGTTTTGAACTTTATTTGATGTCTTTCATCCGACGCATTCCAATTCCTTGCACCAATTTTTTGAATGTTGCAGTCGGTAGCGACTTCGTAAACAAATCTGCAAAATTTTCAGACGATCGAATTTGTTGCACATTAATTTCACCACTTTTTTTTAAGATCGTGAGTGAAAAAGAACTTCGGAGATATGTGCTTTGTCTGATCGTGTTTAATATATCCTATTTTTAACCGAGCTATATAAGCTGCATTACCTTCAAATAATATTGTAGGAGGTAATATATCATCAGAAATCAAGCCACAATTTTTCTAAATATGATAAGTCATAGACCTCAACTAAACACATTCACGAATGGCTTCGTGAATTGCTAAAACTTCAGCATGGTTTGAAAAAGTAGCTGTTATCGTCTGTTTAGCAGATCTCCAAGAGATTGCGGTTCCGCCACAAGTAAATAAATAGCCAGTTTGAAATTTTACTTTGTGTGGATCAGACAGATAACTAGCGTCAACATAACCCATTAATTCATTTCGAGATTCACTCGAATAAAATAAACCAAGGTCATGAGTCCCCTGAAGATAACGAAAAATGTGCTTGATCTTATTCCAGTGGCGCTTT